GTGTGATTGTCTTCCTGATGGGATATCCTGCCTTAACCAGAATCAGACTGGACTTTACAAGGGTTCTCCTGGTTGTCAGGGCTTTAATTTCACACTCAATTTTCTGATTGGTTCCCCAGGGACTCTGGCTTGTCAACTCTGTATCTTGGTATTTTTCAGCCTCCATAACTTCCTGAGTAAATACCTTATAATCTCAATCTATATCTCTCTCTCTCCCCCGCCTCCCCTCTCTCTCTTTCTCTCTATGTAGTAGGTAGACAGATATGGACAGATAATGTCTATATAACATAGTTACTCATATTTTTATAGATGGAGAGGATCATATATACATAGACACACATGTATTATACCTTACTGGTTCTATTTCTCTAAAGTAGCTAGAAGAACGCAGTGCTTTTTATATATTTTTTCTGGAGGAAAGTGGACAAATGCAGTTAAGTTGATATGTCTAATTATTCAAATATTCTGTCAAGCAAACTGAAGTCATACATGGTTAATTTTTGTCTGAGTTTAGTCTTTGACCTGAATGTAACAGGAATCAGCTAAAGCTAATTTAGGCCAATTTTTTTTTTAAAAAATACTTGGGAGGGATTTATTTTGAGGAGACATTAAATATCTCAGTGGTGTGAAGGGCAGAAGTGCTGCCACATCCCATGAAGAAGCTGGAACAGAATGCCATTTCATGTTCCCAACTCTACTTATTTCAAGACATTTGTTTTACTTATTTTTCTGTGTACTGACAAACTATTACTCTGTTCACACAATGATGTTTTAATTTCAGAGGTTTGAATTTTCTTTCCTTCATGAGAGCTGCCCATGTAAGGATGAAATTCTTGATTCCCAACTCTAGATTCTTAAGGGAAGAATTTGATTGGTCATATTTGAGTCAGATCTTGCTGCTCTGAGCATCCACCATTAGCAACAGGGAGTCATGGCTGTTGTCTCCCATATCCATGCATGTGTGGATGAGGTCTGGGAATGGTAGGCGTCTTCAAATAAGACAGAATAATTCTGAACCCTTTTCTTTCAATAATTATGTTAAAACCTTCTATGAGTCCAGCGCTGGGAATAAAATTCTGAAAAAGATAGACATGTTTCTGGCCCTCACAAACATTACTCTCCAGTTAGTTATATTGGGGACTAATATTGGGGAGGGGATTAATGAGGATTGTATTTACATATAATTAAATTGGCAAGGGATCACAGTATTATGTGGACAAAAAGGTGTTCTTGAAGTTCTTCCCCCTGACTTGGGAGGTCATTGATATCTTCTTGTGAAAACTGACAGCTACAGTGCAGAGATGTTAACTTGGTGAAACAGATGAAAGTAAAGTATAATGTCATAGACCAAGACTTTAATGTTTATTTAGACACCTACTATTGATGGATCTAAAACAGTGTTGGATATTGATAGATATCGTAGTTTGGATTTTCCCCGAGTCAGATTCTGAAATGAGAAGACAGAATTAAACTTCTGTTTTGATAGTATTCTTAACTGATTCTTCCAAAGATGGCCAACAGCAATTTTGGTTTGTATTCCCAGTAGAGCACCTCCCACAGAAAAACAGAACCTTTAAAAAAAAAAAAAAAAGGAAAGAAAAACAGAACCTTTTCCTAAGTGCTTTTAGGAAAGATTTCCAGGTCGGACACCCATGGAAATAATTTGGGCCATTGAACCAATCGCTTTAGAAAACACACTTGAAATAGTCTGACAGATAGGGATTGGGAAGGTCACACATCACATGACCAGATAGTGGTTGAGGAGGAGTAGTTCTTCAAAAAATATCATAGCATTATTACCAGAAGAGAGATTGGATGCTAGGCAGGCAAAATCAACATATGTCTGTTAATGTTGGAGACCTTACTCATTCAATTCTAATTTTACAATTGGAGGTGTGTTATGTGTTACACAGATTCATCCAGAAGGAACTAATAAATAGTTCATACTCTGATGTTCTTCTAGAATAATTTGCAAAGAGCAAAACTTAAATCACCTGCATTTTCATTTCAGGATAATATAAAAATTGACACTTAAAGAAATAATGATTCTTAACCCATATTGGTATATATATATTTTTCCACTGATATTTCTGAAAATCTGATTTTAGTAGAGCCACTACTTAGAAAAATTTTGTACATACAACTTTTCTCAAGGGATTGATGGTCTACTTGAAAAAGTTAAACCCCTGATCTAGAATGACTAAATGTTTTCAAAGCCCTTGGCTTGGCGCCTTTGCCAGAGTTTAAACAGATAGTCCTTTTCTTAGTTATAAGGTAGGAATGCCTTTTAGATGAATTTGTTGATCTTTATTTTTAAACTGCTGAAATTATAAAGATACAAATACTAAACACTATTTTCATACTGCATTCTTGTTCAATTCAGTGTCATAATCTTAAATCGAGGCAGATAAACTGTATTCAATTTCTGGTGAGGATACAAGGGCAAAAAAATTAAGTCTTTCTGAAGCTTTTGAATATTGTTTATTCCTATAATAAAGAAGGCAGCTTGCTGCCTAATAAGATGTGGCTTGGGAGGTTGCTTTATCAATTTGTTGATCCCTTGGAGGAAAAAACACATTTTAAAAACAAATGCAAGAGTGAGACATACATGAATGCAATCCTTTTACACTGGGAGCACATTTCTGTATTGTGCCAAGTAAAGTAAGATTTTTTAGATAGAAATTTATTCCTTCTAATATGCCTTCCCTTAATAATATAATGTTCAAGAATTAAATAATAGCTTTGTTTAACAGGAAGCACTGTAGGATTTCTCTTTTTTTATAAACAATATTATGAATAACCATGAATTTGTGAAAATGCTAACAGGTAAAATACAGGATGCCCCATTAAATTTGACTTTCAGATAAGCAACAATACTTTTTTAGGATAAATGTGTTTGATGTTACAATTGGTACATACTTAGCTTAAAAAGTAGTCGTTGCTTATCTGTAAGTATAATTTAATGGGGCATCCTGTATCTTAATATTCTAAATCTGACTAACTTGTCAACTTGCAAACAATATTATTTTTATTCATTTGTAAATATTTGATTTTGCATATTAAAGTAGTTTTGGAACTGGCATCTCATTATATTGTTATTTTCTGTATTCCAGTTGACTATTTAAGAATATATACCATTAATTTGTCATCAGAGTTGTAATAGAATACTTCAAAAATTTTTCCATAAATAGTTTCCACTCATATAATTTTTCACTCCTAAGGAACTTTATGAAGAAAGCTAGACTGAGGTAGATGTTTGGTTATTTCAAATCAATTCTTTTCCCATTTGAGGAAATGTTATTAAAGGTTGCATGTTTTCTGCTTTTAAAGTAAGTTACATTTTGTCAGTGATTTAAAATGATTTGTCTTTGAAAGCAGAAACTTTTCAAAACGAACCATTATATAGAGATGAAATCAGCGAGTCTAGAAAATGAATAATTCATTTTTAAGTAAATGAGAAATTATTTTGTGCTGTTACTTATACATTTTCACATTTATAGTTAAATAGTAATTTGCGATCCGCAGGGTATTAGTTGTGAATTGTGGTTTTCAATATCACAGACACATTTGTTGCTGTGGTTTTGCAATATCATTCCCTGATGCTTTTTTCAATTGTGGTTTTCATAATCATTGTTTGATAGTCATGTAGCTGTGGTTTGGGGCTGCTATATCCATTTGGACAGAGATAATTGCTTATAGGTTTTGCTGTCTTTTTATTTTATAACCCCAGTGAGTTACACTAGAAAAAGAAAAATTGAACTTTAAATATCATTAACATTCTCATTAAAATGATGCGAAAACAAAATGTAACAGTGTTGCTTAGTTTAATTCATTTACATTGACTGTAATAAATATATTCTTTTATAAATTTAGATAAACTAATATCTATTTCTAATAATGCAGTCTGGATATTTTATCAGTCTTGCCCTGAATCCCCTTACTTTTTGCTCCTTTCAGCTTTTAAACTGAATATTTAGCTGAGATTTATTTGTTTCTCTTTTACTTTGCATATTTAACCATTTCAAATGCCAAAAGAAACACTAACTGTTATGATATTTTAATTTCAATGCACATTCCTTTTGGGTGATATGAAAAGTCAGCCAGTTCTGTAAAAAGATCTTTAAAAACCATAATGTATAATACATTCAACCTAAGTACACCAGTTTAATTGTAATGAATTGAAAATTAAGGAGGCAAAATCTGTAGTTCTCTATTTATTCCGCCACACAAACACAAATAACCCTGCTTTTCATGGTACTTACAGCTTTAATTTGTTGGTTCTTCAGGGGACAGATTTTGTCATTTAGTGTATTTTCCATTGCTAAGGACCCTGTATTCTGACAATGTCATATGGTAGTTGTATTAATGATAATATAATAAAATTCACAATTGGTTTTCAGCTCCGTATCAAGATTCTCCAAGCCATACCTTTCACAGGGCAACTCTACACATTCCAGAAGATGCCCTGATGGGGTTATAAATGACACATTACAGTGCCTTCTCCTCAACACTGAGTAGCCTGCACTAAGCTCCATCAGCACAGGCTCTCTGCTGTCCCCAGACCCTTTTAGAATATGGGGTTTGCTGGGGTTCACAGGACACTGGTCAACCAAACAAAGGGGAATACAATTTTTGATTAGAATGGATGAGCTCACAACCAGGAAGGAAAAGCCAGCAGGCTCTGGGGGATACATGTTAACTGCAGTGAAGTTTATTAGTCAAAACTGATTACATAAAATAGCTAGTTCCGTTCCCACTTGTAGAGAAGGTCCTTCCAGCCCACCAGGGAGAATATATGCCACACTCAGTGTATATGAAACTATAAGAAACTAAGCTAACTTCATACAGCTTAACTTGGCCAAAATAATAACTATGCAAATCAGTTCAAAATTTGTACTTTTTTGCTTGCCAATTTCAGCATACTATACACACAATAAATGAACACGAATGAAACAAAATTTTTAAGGCTAAAGAAACATGTAATAGTTATTGGGTCTTACCTGCTTGGAAATTATGGCAAGATCAAATCTTTTATTAGTTGCTGGCTGCTTCCCTGTGGCAGAAGAACTAAAAGAATGAAAGGTCATGGGGTTGAGGTGGGACTTCAGAAGTTCCATAGACTTCCTTAAAAAGTTAATATTGTTAGGCGGGATAGCTCATTTCCCACCTAGGATTTATCCCTTGGCTAGTGGTCTTCCTTTCTGTCATGAGAGAAATACCTGCCTGTCCGCAAAAAAAAAATTAGGCATTATTACAATCTAAAATGGAAACTCTGGGTGAGAAATAGCACTTTTAGGGCGCTGCTCAGCACCCCATCCCAGCGGGCCAAGTGGGGAATGGCCCCTGTCCGCATCGGTCTCCAGGGAACCTTGAAATGGTCTCCTGAGAGCCTGGGCAGATGAGAGCACTTAACTGGCCCCAAGACACACAGTTGGCATTTGTGATCAGCTGGCCCTCCTGGCGGATTTTGCCAGTGGCCTAACCTTCCTGCCAAGAATCTGGAAGGGGCGGGGTGGAGGCTAGGGGAAGGGGCGGCAGAACTGGAGGCACAAAGTTTATGGAGAGACTGAGATTTCTTTGTGCCCCGCTTGGATGGGTGAGGCACGAGAGAGCAGATTTGGGGTCCGTCAGAGGGGGCTGTTGGAAGAAGTTTCTTGAAAGAGGGGGAGGGGTGCCTGGCAGCTGCCCAGCGCTGACGCGGTGACTGCAGAAGGTGGCCCCTCTCCAACCCTTCCCCAACCTTGCAACCCCCAGCGCGCTCCCCAGCACCTCGCCCGACGGAGGCCGGGGCCCTAGTTTGCATCCGGACTGGCTTTGGATGCAGCCAATCCTCCTTTG